TTAATTTTGTATACATAGTTCAATTTTCCTAAGCCATGAAACAAATCTTTGTATTCACCAATGTCCTGAACTACATATTCCTTTGAAATATTTTCAACTTTATTTATTAAACCCAACTGCAGTCTTACCTGGATGTTGTTTATTATTAAAACTGGTTTTATTCTGATTAGGCATTCTGCTTCGAGATTCTTGTTTTCTTGTAACCGCTTCAACTGTCTTTTCTGTCATGACTTGAACCTGTTTTGCAGCACTCTCAGCCACTTTACATATTTTCATGCAGCTATCCAATGTTAAGGTCGATTCCTTGAGCAATCTTTCTGTTAATTTGGCATCATTTAAGCCTAATATGATTTGGTCTCTTATTAAGTTTTCTTCTAGGTCTGCAAACCCACAGTCTCCCGCCAATTTTCTCAACGTACAGAAAAATTCATCAAAACTTTTCCATCTCTCTTTTTTCTGCTGAAGAAGACATGTCTACTAAAAGTTTCATTTCCGGGTGGCGAACAATATTCATTAAACTTCTGTTTTACTTCCACATAGGATAACTTTTCTTTGTTCTTAAAACCATTGTATATGGTTAGTGCTTCTGCACCTAGGCAGTGTAAATAGATTGCCTTTTTCTGCTTATCTTTAATTTTTTCATCACCTTCCGTCCCGCTAGCAATCATATAAATATCATATTGTGTGTCCATTTTTGAAAATGTTGTTTCAAGTCGCCCATGAGGCTTAATGGTGGCGGTGGTTTTAACGAATCCATCTTCCGTTTACAACGTTTTACTTCCACTTAGGTTTTTATATTTATCACAATAAGTTCTTTAAGTCCTCAGCGCCACGTAATAATTATATTTAATTATTTAATAAAAGGTTAATAAGACAACTGTAATGAAACGCATAAGTATTCACACGCCATCTTTAATCTCTAGTGCCGTCCCACGTACATGTCAACCACAGCTTATACCAGTAAAGTATCTTCACATGACAGGCGGCACTTTTCTTTCAGTCTTTCTGTACTTAATTGTACATAGCCTGAAGTATTCGCCGGTACGCACAGGTGGAAACATATATACCTAATTAGCTTTTGCCCGCGACTTCGTCCGCGTGGAATAGTTCACAAGTAATGCTTTATTTTAGAACAAATTTGGTTAGCATAAAAACGTTATAGTGAGCCAACCGTAACATATATACATATTATGCTGTCGCGGACCTTTTTTTAGAACTTTTAAAGGGGAACAATTCTGTCATAGATTATTTTAGCGAAACTTTAACCGTTTCTGCAGCGCACGCAGCGTAAGCTCTCAAAAGGGAAAAAACCTCGATTTTGAAACATTATTTAATTTTATTAGTGCTCCGCTTGTATTGGTCTTAGCGCGATAGCCTTTTTCAATAAATGGGCTATCTAACATTGAATTATTTTTTTCAAATCGGCTAGTAGTTCCTGAGATTAGCGCGTTCAAACAAACAAACTCTTCAGCTTTATAATATTAGTATAGATGATACCGATGAAGATTTCTTTTGAACATACTGCCGATCGGTCCGAAGCTAAAAGTGACCGGAAAGCGTGTAGCTAATATATTTTCCCGGGCTCGGTGGTGAAAATCGGGAGAGTCCTATGTCCTACAGTGAACGACTGTGGACTGATGATGATGAAACGAAGCTATTTTTTTAAAGATAAATTCAATCTAAATTTATTGCTTAGATGGGTGAACGAGCTCACAGCCCACCTGGTGTTAAGTGGTTACTGGAGCCCATGGACATCTACAACGTAAATGCGCCACCCACCTTGAGATATAAGTCCTAAGATCTCAGTATAGTTACAACGGCTGCCCCACCCTTCAAATCGAAACGCATTACTGCTTCACGGCAGAAATAGGCAGGACGGTGGTACCTACCCGCGCGGACTCACAAGAGGTCCTACCACCAGTAATTACGCAAATTATAATTTTGCAGATTTCATTTTTATTACACGATGTTATTCCTTCACTTTGGAAGTCAATCGTGAACATTTGTTGAGTACGTAATTCATTAGAAAAATTGGTACCCGCCTGGGATTCGAACACCGTTGCGTCGCTCAACACGAATGCACCGGACGTCTTATCCCTTAGGCCACAACGACTTCGAAATGAATTACATGAGAACACTAAATAAGACAAGACCATCGATATTACTAATTGAAACTGTTACGTCATGATGACGGATGACTTTTTTATTTATTTACTATCAAGAGCTTATTCAAAGCTTCAAAGCTTATGCTTTGCTGTTACTATAAAGCTATCGCTGAAAATCCAATTTTGAGTACTACCCTGAAAACTTTAGTAACGGGTTTTCGTTTATAACGAGATTTTTTAAAAAATGTGCGAAATGTGAGCATTTTTGCAGGTATTTTAATTTTGTCGTGGAATATCAGTATCCCATTCGTATGTGTACGCATACTCACGTAGCTATTTATAATTCACAACTATGCGAAATTGAGTTTTTTTTTTCATTTATTGTCAAGCCAGGGCTTGCGAATTTAGCTTCGTGAAGATATAATTACAAAGTAAATTAACGACGGACATATGAGCTGAGAGTTCAAAGGTGCTGAGCGGTTATTTGCATTCATAGACATCACAACATGAAGAAGGAGACAAGTAGGCATAGAAGTGGTCTGCGCTTACCAGTGGAAGCACGCAATTTGTTTACAATATAAAATTAATTGCATTACAAATTGAATCTATAATTCAATTTTGTATTACATTTGATTTTAATTTGTTTTCATTTGATTTTTACTTCTGACAGTTTAACGGGATTATATAGCAAATTGGTATATTATAAATATAAAATACTCCTTATTATCAACTTCTCAAAGGGTCTGTTACTTTCATTCATTTCTATTACAGCATATTTTATTTAACTTTATTAAAATGTTTGTAATAAATAATGTGAAATTTAGATGACCTCATAAGTTAGCCTCAGACAGACATTCACATGAATGTCCCCACTCAGCATGAAACATGAGGTCTATGTCTTATTTGTACAGGGAAATCCTACCCTTCAAACCAGAACGCAAGACTGCTTCATAGCAGAAATATTCATGTCGATAAATTAGAAACGGCTTAAAAAGATCACGAAGACTGGAATAGAGGTTCAAAAAGATCTATGCCAGAATCGAATTCATTTGTATATTGAAATCTAATCTGCAACAAGTCAATGCAATTACATATAATAATTTATATAATATAAAAAAAAAGACGTGTGGCACTCGGAGACTGCTGGTAAAGTGCTCGGTAAAGCTATTGCATAGCATTTTTTATCAACTTATGCAGTTATAAATCGACAATAATAATTTAATATTAAAACAACAATAAAATAAGATCCGGAGAGAAACTCAGTGGGCTAACTTTCAATGAATTTGCTACATTGTGAGTACTCCATTTTGACCGCGCACTCACTAGAGAGCGCTACATGGGATAGAGCTACACGCCTTCGGATGCTAGTTCTAACTCTCATTCGCCCAGAATCAACGGTTTAGCTAGTTTACTTTTAATGCCACTCCAATCGCTGAATGAGTAGTAGGAGTAGTAATAAAATTCTTCGACTAAGCGATAGAAAATGGCACGCCCAACTCATCGTAATGTGATATAATTTTCTATTTTACAATTCCGTTTGTCCCCGATAGATGGCGCTTTACGCAAAAGCTGAATCACGCTATCGTTGTGTTGCTATGGTTGTGTGTTACCCACGAAATTATATCACATATTTTGATAGTACATAAATCGGTGTTTAGACTTCTTACTTTAAACACTACACAAGCGCAATGTGTGAATGTGTTGAACGCGAGCTACATAGTAGGCGTAGTGAGGGGTGGAAGGTTTTTTTCGTTACGGAATTTCACGATTCCGCTCTCAAGCCGCGCCCAAGGCCCGCGATAAAATCTATGCAATAGCTTAAAAATTTACTAGTTTTATCTTTAAACAAATATTGAGATGACACTTAAGGTTATTAACGTACGAATTCTAGTCGCAGTTGGAGTTCGAATTTCTATATCGGTTTTTGATAGGGATTTTTAAAAATAGATGATTGTCAGATGAGGTGAATTTTCCACTGTATTTTTTAGATGCCAGAGTCCATAGAAACTTCTACGAAATGAGCTAACATTATTTAAGACATGTAGTGTGTTTAGAAACTCTTCACCGGTTTTTCTGTTATTCTAATTGTATTTCTTTTGTGTATATACTTGTGTCCCAGTAGGCATACACGGAATTCTAACATGTGAATTTTGTATGAGTAACATTGAATCTTAATTAATATCCTAAGCAACTTCTGTCATCATCATCATCATCATCATCATCAGCCTTTATCTATCCACTGCTGAACATAGGCCTTCTCCAATGCCATCCACAGAATGCGGTCCTCCGCCTTCCGCATCGGCCCTAAGTCGTCGGTCCACCTGGTTGGATTACGCCCCACGCTCCTAGTACCAATCCGTGGCCTCCATTCGAGGACTTTCCTCCCCCACCTGGCGTCGTTGGCTCGACGCTGTAATGTTTCATATTTCCGATTTTTGCCGGCGATACTTTGTAAACCAAATACATTAATATATTAAGGAAGCTTAAATGGAAGTGGACGGGGCATACTATAAGAGGACAGGAGAAATGGTGTAAAACTATAATGTATTGGTATCCGAAAGACAGAAAAAGAAACCGAGGTAGACCATTTAAGAGATGGGTGAACGACGTTAAGGCAGTTGCGGGAAGTACATGGACCAGAACAGCTGAAAATAGAAGCTTATGGAGGCAGTTGGAGGAGGCCTATGTCTATAATAGACAAACAGACAAAAATTAATAATAATTTAGGTTAAAAAAATACTTTAATAAAAATTTAATTAGTATTAATACCACTACTTACTTAAACCATATAAAAAAAAACAAATGAAATAATAATTGTACATGTAAAAAAAAAAGTATTTGTCTGAATAAAGGCTTTATTATTATAATTATTAATATTATGTTTCTTTTGTACAGAATGCCAATTCAGGCGCCTCAGTGGACGGACTACCTAACCTGTCCGGTGTGCTGCCGAGAGTTCGGTGCTCCGCCCCGGAGTCCTATCAGCCTCAGCTGCGGCCACACCCTCTGTAGGCACTGTCTGATTCACCTTCATCGGAAACAATGCCCCTTCGACCAGGTAATTATTTGTTAGCTTCTAATTTAATATGTCATTTCTGGACTTCGAACTTTTTATTTGATGTGTGAATTTTAGAATCATTGCCGTCGGTTCTAATGTCCGAGGTTTGAATAAAAACAAACATTTTCATTCAATAACTTGATCATTGACAAAGCAATTTAAATATGAATCTATACTTTGATTTTAGTTCAATACCTACGTATAAAATTATTTTTTATTAAATTTGAAGTATGAGGACCTAGCGTAGATAACGCAATGAAGCCGTTTAGTTTTGTTACTATTTATGCTGTCTACAGGATTCGAACTAGGGATGGCGATCTCAAATCGATTAATCGAAGAATCGATTTCTCGGACCAAATAAATCGATTTTTTTAATCGATATGTCGTACTGAATCGATTCAGTGAATCGATATTTTACCCTTGAAAATCGACTTTCGATTTTTTCTGTTTTGGTAAAAAAAAAAAATATTTAGAATTAGCTGAATGTACTCACAATATTACGGCATTGCCAGTTAAATGTTTAATTACTTAAAAACTCGCGAGATGGCGGTATGTTTAGTTTTCGTCGCTTCTCTTTAGTAAAAAACACCTTCCACAAAATAATAGTGAAGAATTCGACGCAATAGAAGGGACTGATTTAGAAAAAGGAATTTGGGATTTTCATAAGTTGCTTGTCAAAAAGCAACTCTCTACATGTAATACACTTGCACTGGAAAGTCAAGGCTTAAACGAAGAGTTTAAACACTATTTATCACAGGCAGTTGTGCACCTAAAGTATAATCCTATACTTTATTGGCAAGAACAAAAAAACTCTATTTATCACCATGTTCACTCAATAGCCGTGATGTATATGAGTATCGTAGGATCATCTGTTCCCTGTGAGCGCCATTTTTCGATTGCCGGCAACATCGCAAGTGATGAGCGGAACCGCTTGGATCCCATTAGACTTGACAAATTGTTGTTTTAAAAAAGCTTAGATATGAAGCATTGGGTACTATAAGCTATTGTTATCTGCTCTCTTAACTTTTTAATGTAACAAAATATACATTTAGAAAATAAATGTCTTCTTTTATATCTGATCTGATATTTTGATATGGTAATAAAAATAATTGTAATTATCGAATTCCCTGAACTAATAAATTCCTGATTTTACTGATAAGAGATCCCAGAGATTGTTTATTATGGTATCATTTTTGTTTTTCATAAAATGGATTTATATTTACATTGTAAATACAAATTTGAAAAAAATCGATTTTTTAGAAATCGATTTTTTAGACCTCGATTTTTTTATGAATCGATTTATCAGGTTACGATTCGAATCGATTTAAAAATCGATCTTTTTTGGAAAGAATCGCCATCCCTAATTCGAACACCGTCATTGTTACATCGCTCGATACGAGTACTTCGGACGTCCTATCTTACAAACCAAGACGACTTCAAAAAGTTTTGAATTAGTTTAAACTGCGAGTATGTACATATATGTATATGTATGTGTTATGGAGCATAGAAAATAGGTCACATGTAATTTTAAATTTTCAAATAACCAGTAATATTTATTACTTTGAATGATAGAGAACGAATCACAGATAACGCAACGATTCAAAGGACTTTTTGGCGGGAACGCGAGGAGTGAAGTTGTGTGATTTATTTTATTTTGTCTATTTAGTGTTTCTTCAGGTTTAAATATGTCATAACGGTGGCTTATTAACTGTTTAATATCTGTGAAAGTGCATAAATGTGAGAAAATGAAACAAAGCCACTGGACGTAACTTCTCGGGATCCTCCAAAAAGTTCACTGAAAAAATCTCAGTAAATGACCATCATGTTACTGAGATTATATTTAATCCCATATCATCTCATTTCATTTCATTTCACTCCGTATTATCATTTTTCATTAAAATAAAAATATAACTTAAAAAAAGACATGACCTAAAGGTCTTAGTTACCAGGTCATAAAATCACTTAAAAAAAGCAACGACTCAAAGTTTTGTAACAAGATCGACTATTGTTAATGCGTGCAATCATATGGAAATTAATAACAAACGAACTTTAAAAGTATAACACGGTTAACTGAATTTTATGTTCTATCATGCCCTTGTAATAACTTTGAAGACGTAGTATTAAATAATTAATTATACAATATACTGGACAGTAAAATATTATATGCCGCAGTTCTATTTTAAAGTGGTCATTTCTGTAGCACGAATCAAGTTATTGCTAAAACATACCGAACAGCAATTAAAATGTAATAGTACTAACTTGAACATAAAGTTTTTAATTTTTATTGCTTAGATTCTTAGATAGTTGATAGCTCACGGCCCACCTAACCGGTAAAACGGCTGCTCCACCCTTCAAACTGAAACGCATTACTGCGTCACGGCAGAAATTGTCAGGGTGGTGGTACCTACCCGTGCGGACCCACAAGACGTCCTACCACCATTACAAGACGTTCTACCACCATACGGATACTCTTGCGTTTTTCATTATAGTTAAATCAAATACTTTAGTTTTCGTAATCACGAGGTCGATCAATGGAAATAATATAATGACAATGAAAAACCGTAAAAGTGGTTTTATTTAGGTTCTACTTCTCGTCTCCGCGTCTGCTCATGAAACGCGAACAAAATTCTAATAGGTTGGGTAAAAAGTTTCTTCGCATTTTTTAAGAAAATCCACAACATTTTTTAATATAATTTATTTACATTTAACTAAAGTATGTAGGTACCATTTTGTTCAATAGCTTTTTGCCGTCTTGTAGCTAGGGACATGATCCCATTGTTATAGAAATTTTGGGGCTTCTGATCAAAGTTCCGCGACAATTGGTTTTGGCAGTCCCTTTTTTAATATTTTTTTTTGCTTAAATGGGTGGACGCGTTCACAGCCCAGCTAGTGTTATGCGGTTACTGGAGCCCATAGACATCTACAATGTAAATGCGCCACCCACCTTGAGATATAAGCTCTAAGGTCTCAAGTATAGTTACAACGGCTGCCTCACCCTTCAAAACCGAAACGCATTACTGCTTCACGGCTGAAATAGGCAGGGTGGTGGTACCTACCCGCGCGGACTCACAAGAGGTCCTACCACCAGTAAAAAAGTCCTCTCGTGATGTTAACCCGACCCTGCCTAAAAAACTCTGAAGAGACCGAAACAGGTAGAAATCTGAAGGTGCAAGGTCAGGACTATACGGCGAATTCATTAACGCCTCCCAGCTGAGCTCTCTTCATTTTTGCTAAGTGGCTAAAGATGTGTGAGGTCTAGCGTTATCATGATGAAAAACCACACCCCTTCTGTTCATTAATTCCGGCCGCTTTCTCTCAACTTTTTGCTTTATTCTCATCAGTTGTTCGCAGTAGAGTTCAGAATCGATGGTCCTGCGTGGTGGTAACAGCTCATAATGAATAATGCCCTTCCAATCCCACCACACACACAGCATCACCTTGTTGCGAGTTAACCCGGGTTTCGCCACAGTCTGTGAAGCCTAATCGACCTTTGACCACGACCTTTTTCGCACGTTCTTGTCGTACATGATCCACTTTTCATCACCAGTTATCAGCTTCTTCAAAAATGGTTCGGTTTCATTACATCGTAATAAAGAATTACAAATGACTACACGGTTCATTAGGTTTCTTTCAGTGAGCTCGTGAGCAAATATCGAGCTTATTTTTGAATCCAGTTTTTTTCAAATGCTCCAAAACTGTTTTGTGGTCAATTCCCAGTTCTTTAGCTACGTCGTAACTACTGATATGCCGATCTTGCTCCACTTTATCAAAAATGACATCCATTTTATCAGTAATAGGGCGACCAGAGTGACGTGCATCTTTTACATCAAACTTTTCGGATTGAAAACGCTTAAACCAAATTTGTGCTACTCTCACAGACCCTGCACTAGGTACATAAACATCGCAAATTTTTTTCGCGGCTTGCGTTGCATTTGTTCCTTTTTTGTAGTTAAATTTTAAAATGTATCGAATTTCTTCATTAGATTCACTCATCTTGACAGTACGAAAAATAAATAAAAATCACACATTTGCCTAATTTCAATTTGGAATTATCTTCTTTAAAATTTAAACTTTTAATGATACCCAAAACCAGCCAGATACAAATAGTATATATAAATAATAAATGGCCAAAGAGATTTTAATACAAGTTCATACATACTATTATATAATGCGAAAAGACTTTCTCCTCAACCTATTATTATAAATCAGTAATTCAGTATTTGTTAAAACATGAACAATTACGTTTGAAATTGAATGCACTACACAACTACTTTGTATTGTTACGGAATTCGCAATAATTACTACCTACATACAATACGGCTAATATGGCGTACATTTATTTACATTGGCGAGCACCGAGTGCCCCTGTTTCCATTTCAAATATCCGATCACAGCACCATTGTGGCTTCATATTCTCTTCAACGTACAATTTCACCTGAAATTCCGTAACGAAATCCTCTGTTTCGAGTTCTATATTAAGTTGCAATTCGCTGTACTGCAGCCCGCGCTTTTAATTGAGGGCTGCAGCTTTCGAATTAATTTCTGTAACGAAATTGAATCAATTACACTTGTCTGCCTGTAGCACGCGTCGTGGAGCGCGTCGAATGCGAAAAATCGAATTTAGGTTGTACCGTGAAATTTTTCACTATTCTCCTATCTATCTTTTTTTATATATTAAAACCTTTGTAACCCGCGAGATGGACTATTAAAGCTGATAACATTTAAGCGATACAACATCATGCAACGATTTATTTATTTATTTATTTAATACACTTCATGTAACTAGCGGACTTTAATGCCTAAGAAATTCTCTACCAGTCAACCAAAGGTAGTGCAGAGTAAATGATAAGGATAAAACGTGAATGATTTTTTTTAAACTAGATAAAATAACTTCGTAAAGCACTTACCACGTTAGTAATTATTTATAGTGATGCCTGTTAGAGTAACTACTCGTATTTTCTCAAAACAATTTTAGTTTATATGGAGGAGAGGTCCTCAAAGGCTTGGTTTGATAACTTACTTCGGACTGCATTTGACTGGCATATATCGAGTACATACATATGTATATATGTCCAACTAGCACACTAGAACTTACCTGGATTTCCTGCAAAGCTTGTTGGTCATCCAAAGGTGCATTGGTGCCATGTTGGTGTATGTTTTAGCTTGATTAAAACGAGAAGTTTCTCTGATTTCAATGGTAGAATCACTATATACGAATATGTTGGTTTGTACACGGAGAGAGACCATCAAAGACTGTATAATGTATTCGAAACATCATCTGATGATGATGATGATGATGATGATATTAATTTAACCCCGATGGGAAAGGCAAAGGACTTTAGCCCATACAGCCAGGTATTGTTCTTGGTAATAATTGGAGAATTTTCGTAGTTTTAAAGGCCGAAGCCACGTCTTCATTGTTCTTGATCGTAAGGCCGAAGCCATGTCTTGTCTTATTGTTGTCATGTCTTATTATTCTCGGTCATAAGGCCTAAGCCACTTCTTTGATGTTTTGAATTGGTCGAAGTCAAACCCATAAGCAATAATAGTAGAATCCAAATAAAAATTATTTATATTTCCAAGTGCTTATTTCAAATCCGATATCTTAAGGTAAATCCAAAAGTATGTCCGTTCAATCGAATTAGTCAATCCGGGGAGTACAATCCTTTTAAATGTTTTGAACCGTATTAGAAATAAATTCATAAATGATATCATGCATATCATGGTTCATAAGCAAGTCTTGAATACAGCGCGGGATATTTGGAACATCATGTGACTTTTTGACATATCTAAGGGTGATGTATATTTCAGTTTCATAAACCATAGCTATAATCACGATGATTGAAGACTTTTATCTTAAGGTGCGGATGAGAAGAAATTTTGTAGTTTCCCGTACGTTGTCTAATTTAATGCAGGTTGTGCAGCCGGACACTTTCTTCGGCCTTTCGCGTCTGGTTAAGTGGTGATGAAATGTCGTAGGATTTGTTCGGGGCAGTACCCAATATTTTTTTATTAACAGTCTATTGGTATTTAGTGCCCACATTTGAAACACCCTCACAAGTGGCTAAGATTTCCAAAAACTTAGGAGTCTTCGTCTTCAGAACGACTTAAGTTCATAAAAAAAAAACGTTTCAGCTTCATTTTCAAATCTTTAAATCTCTTTTTGCCACGAAACGGTAATGGGTTGGCGAAGGGTTGGATAGTCGTTAAACAATATAATTGAGACTCCAATCTCACATACCCTTGCGGGCAAAACACACCCTACCACCGGCTGTACGCAATTTTTATAGTTTAGCCGATTTGCTTTGTCACATGACAGTTATTATCCTTAGAGTGATATGGTACCTACGTAATTAAGGCTATTCATTGATTATATTATCGTTGACCATTCATCGTTGACCAATTTCAGTCGATCTCCTGTTACCACGAAAACTGTACTGCTTCTGTGTTAGTTTCTCTAGCACGATTTTTCTACATCTGTTTCTGTCTCTCGCGATAACGAAAAATGTAAAGTATTTGAAACGATATGATGAAAATACGAAAATTAACCCTTGAACGTAGTTTTAATTGTGTCTTCACGAAAAGCGAAGGAACCACAATTTTTTTTTTTTTACCCAAATTTAACCCAAAATTTACGAAATTGGGAATTGCGGGAATTCCGTAATCGAAAATCCGCTTTTGACTTTTAGAGTTCCGTTTTGTGCAATACTCAATTAAGCTGCAATTACGATGTCATCTGAACTTCAAAGCTCAGCTGTCAGTTACGTCAATTGTTTCAGTGTAACGTGAATCCCATTGAATTCAGATGAACGATGATCTCGTGTAACTCTGAAAACCAATTCGATCGCAATCTAATTAGTCAAATTGTTACCGGTTTGTGGTCATCAGGCTTTAGCTCTCTGAAATTCAATAATAGCATATAATATAATGATAATTAATTATTTTATTAATAACATTATCATAGAGAGCATTTTTTATTCATTGCAACGTGCATTTTTGCTGATCTAACAAACGACAAATATGAAAAGTTTAAAGTCTATTAAAAGTTTAAAGGTCTATGTAATATCCAACACCTCGGTCGTGCTCTTCATGTAATCATCTACTCGGTAGAATCGAAGATTATGGGAATCAACATTTTCCTTTCTCCTTCATTTTCATCATCATTTTTGCCAGTTACTTTTCCAGTAACCACAAAATTTCAAGATTGTTTCCGTCTTTTTGGAACGAAGTTCCTTATGGGACGATGCGGACGGGTACCCTAACCGGGAAAAAATGTCCGTAACGTAAGATTTTTTCAATTTAGTTTGTTATCAACAGATGTCGCTGCATGTAAATTCAACAATTCCTGAATCGCGGTGACGAGATGTTACAAAGTTGATAGACGTTCTCGTATTTCTTTTGCTAGATCATATCTACCTGGCGTAGGGGATACTGTTATCATGCAGACGGTTCCCCCAGGGCGAGGCTGCTTCATTGTACTGCGGAGTGGTTGACCCTAGCGACTATTTTTATTTTTATCAATAAAAAAAGCACATTAAAAAATGTATACCCGAATGATTGTTTTCTTAATACCTCGAATAGAGCTTAAAATTAATATTTTTATAATTTGGAACTTCGTTCCTATCCGGGGTCCCACGACACCACACATCTTTTTTTTTTGACTGCCGCAATAGACAGACGAGAACAGACGGCCCACCTGATGGTGACTGGTTACCGTCGCTCATGCACGTCAGCAATGTCAGGGGCCGAGCTCAGCCGCTGCCTACCGTTAAGTACTCTATGTAGAGGCAATTAAAACTAATTTTACGGTTTAATCTCGCATTTATTATTTCCAATTCATTATTTTTGAAGTTTCGAAACTACATTGTTTTCCTGGTCATGGAGGACTAAGGTATTTTTCGTCGACTTGCGAACGTTGGGCTAACCGTCGTCTCAAACTTATATTAAAGTACTTTAGGACCGACATAGTGTCTACAGATCACAAGAAAAGGTCTGAGCTGTGTGCATCACGATGCTCAGCAATGACCGAGCGTATAGAGTAGGAGGAGGATACTTCTCAAACAATTCGCCTCATTTTACAAAGGGCTTCGAAAACAATCTAAAAAAAATATGCAGTGTCTTGAAAACTACCTCGTGATCAGTGATTCATTCCTTTCATTCAAGACATTAAAATACGTTTTTTTGTATCAATACCATAGTTCGTGAGGTTGCATAAAACGATTGAATATCGCGGACCGTGTTCCGTTCCCATTAATATTTATCAGAAATGAATAAAGCGGTACTATAGTTAGCAGAGACGTGCTGAAAATACATCATACACAGGGACGAAGGAAACAAAAACAAAAATCTCATCGATTTGGCGTCTGAATTTAAATACGGCTTTAAGCGAAGAAAGAGGTCGTAGGGCAGCACGGGAAAGTGGCGTGTGTGTCGTGAAGTATAAGGCACATTTCGCTAAAACGTAGTTTCGCGTTTGAGTGTATTGCACCCGAAACTCAATTATAACAATTAAAATCAATACGCCATTCGATAAATACCGAACGTTTCTTCTGTTTAAATACGACTTTATATGTAATTGGGATACCGGGTACTATAACCGCCGATGTAAATGGGTATTTATTTGTTCGTATCAATATTTTTTTTATTGCTTACATGGGTGGACGATCTCACAGCCCACCTGGTGTTAAATGGTTACTGGAGCTCATAGACATCTACGACGTAAGTGCGCCACCCACCTTGAGATATAAGTTCTAAGGTCTCAAGTATAGTTAGAACGGCTGCCCCACCCTTCAAACCGAAACGCATTGCTGCTTCACGGCATATATAGGCAGGGTGGTGGTACCTACCCGTGCGGACTCACAAGAGGTCCTACCACCAGTAATTGTTCGATAACGCCAACAGACGATCATACAAGTTGAACCCGAGGAGTTGGTTGTGAACACGGCGCTGCTTCAGCTGGCGGGCTATGCGCCACCTTCGCAGCCGTATCAGCCGCCTTGTATCAAGGCTCTCCCGGAGTCGGACAGGCAGGCGTACGACACTGTTATACGCACCATGGAGGAACTTGCTGTATTCTTGAAATGCTCCGGAAACGGTGAGTACTAAAAATTATTGTCATTAGTTTGAAATGTCGGAAAAGGATTTTAGAAAATAAATAATAGTTTAAAAAAACTAACAAAATACGCTTTAATAGAAAATCCAACTAAAAAATAGAAAAAATTTTTTAATAAATTTTAATTAAAAATAGTGTAAGAAAAAATTATTTTATTGTAAGAAAGCGTGGGGTGCATGGTATAAGTAGTTATAAATTTTTATGAACAGATATGAGTAGAAGGATTATTTAGATAATACCCTGAAAAGCACCAAAGCGTATTTTGTTAGATTTTTTAAACTATTATTTATTTTTCATTTTTTAGTTGAATTACAATTTTTTCATTTTTTTTTTAATATTTAATTGTCATCAGTCCTCAATAAGTACACCAAATTTCGAGTTAATCCGACGTTTTGAAGAGGTTAAAATCATGTTCAAAGATTCCGTTACAAACATACATACCTACGTCTGAAGCTAATAAAAGCGTATTAAAAATCTATTTGATCCTTGTGTAACTTTTTTTTATTGCGTAGATTAGTGAACGAGCTTAGTGTCCATCTGGGGTTAAGTGTGCTTAGTGCGAGTTTTTTAACGTTTTCGATAGCGTAAAAGTTAATTCAAATTTGTATGGAATTGGAACGTTTTCCTACGTTTGCCGCTAGGGGCGCTGTTCCGACTGCCTACAAATTTGAGTTAACTTTTACGCTATCGCGAACGTTAAAAAACTCGCACTAAGCATTCAGTAGAAATCATAACGTAAATGCTGTCACCTAGCTTGAGACATGAGCTCAAAGCCTGCGTCGATGTTCCCGCCATCAGTAAATGGATGTTAGCGGTAACAGCATATTGATATGATCATCATTGAATGACGCTGACCGTGTCCTCAGTCGCCCTCTAAGACATCGCTGAAACGAAAAGTGCAAATCTAGGTAGACACGACATATGGAAATCGAGACGTTGTGTAATTGAGCGCGAAATCACCGTTATTTGTTATAAATGATAGGTTTTTGTTAAATTATTCACTGTAGGTAGATAAAGATTCGGTTCACCTATTGGTAAGCAGTCACCATCGCTTATGGATATCGAGCCTCTGGCACTGCAGATTGTCCTTGCATCCTTTGAAGACGGATGTGTTATGCACTCGGGAAACACCGTGGAGGGAAACTAATTCCAAAACCGGATGGCACGTGGCAGAAAATATTTCCGGAAACCAATGAAAGAGCGGTTCTAGTTCTTTTTTTTATTTTTATTTTTTGCCCTTGTAGGCAGACGAGCATACGGCCCTCCTGATGGTGAGTGGTTACCGTCGCCCATGGACTTTAGTAATGTCAGGGGCAGAGCCAAGCCACTGTCTACTGCTTAATACTCTCCACAAGTCTCGTTTGAAGAAGAACATGTCATAGCGCTCGGGAAACACCGTGGAAGGGAGCTCATTCCATAGCCTAGTTAGTATGGATGAACTCTGTTGCGGGCTGTGCGATGGTAAAAAGGATCCGAAGATAGTTTCGTGTCATGGATTAATTTTATCGATAGCAGGCATGCTTAACATAGGAACAGCAAATACAATGGAGCACCTTTGTGGCTAACAAAATACAATGCACTATATGTAAATAGTAACACACCGATACCGCCCACGTGCAGACAGATTAAAGTATTGAAGGTTCGCATTGACAACAATTCTTTGTAGTACTTATTAATGTGGGCAGTCGCTAAGCGCTCACGGTACTATTGCTTTGTGTTCGATCCTTTAAGTTCTCAATCCCTATACGTACTTTGATATCGTTTCTATATTTTGACGCTTAAGCTGTGATATTCAAAGAAAAAATTGTTTATTTCATCGGAAACCGAAGAAAATTCAATATGTAGGTACAGTAACGATGAAAATGAATTCTAATATTCGAATACTCCCACGTGTTTAGTTAATTTGGAGGTGAAAAACCTCGAGTGTTTCGGGGTCTTGAAAAACGGTATACTGTTTTTTTTTTCTATTTTGAATTTTTTACCGAGATAATCCTGTTATATTAGCGGCCCTTTCACATTAAATAATAGATATGTGCGTAGATCGAACTTTTGATATTTTATAATACGAGCCCATTAATGTCTACAACGTAAATTCCGCCACCCATCTGGAGACATGAGTTCTAAGGTCTCCGTTTTTACAATACAACGGCTGCCCCACCCTCCCTTCAAACCGAAATGCATTACTGCTTCACGGTAGAAACAGGCAGGGTGGTGGTACCTACCCGTGCGGACTCATAAGACGTCCTACCACCAGTAATTACGCAAATTATAATTTTGTGGGTTTTCTTATTTATTACACGACGTTACTCCTTCACCGTGGAAGTCAGTCGCGAATATTTGTTCTGTATGTACTACATTAGAAAAATTGGTAACCGCCTGCAGGATTCGAACATCGAAACAGTCGCATCGCTTGATACGCCTGCACCCCAAAACCGATCTACACGGGAGCTCTCTTCTTCGACGTCGCAAAAGCGTTCGACAAAGTCTGGCACAACGGTTTGATTTTCAAACTTTTCAACATGGGCGTACCGGACAGTCTCGTGCTCATCATACGGGACTTCTTGTCTAACCGCTCTTTTCGATATCGAGTAGAGGGAACCCGCTCTTCCCCGCGACCTCTCACGGCTGGAGTCCCGCAAGGCTCCGTTCTTTCTCCGCTCCTATTTAGTTTATTTGTCAATGATATTCCCCGGTCGCCGCCGACCCAGCTAGCCTTATTCGCTGACGACACAACCGCTTACTACTCAAGTAGAAACAAGTCCCTAATCGCGAGTAAACTCCAGAGTGCAGCGTTAACTCTCGGACAGTGGTTCCGAAAATGGCGCATAGACATCAACCCAGCGAAAAGCACAACAATGTTATTTCAAAGGGGAAACTCACCGCTTATTTCCTCCCGCATTAGGAGGAGAAATATCACACCCCCGATCACCCTCTTCGGCCAACCTATACCCTGGGCCAGGAAGGTCAAGTATCTGGGAGTCACCCTGGATGCATCCATGACATTCCGCCCGCATATAAAAACAGTCCGCGACCGTGCCGCATTTATTCTCGGCAGACTCTATCCCATGATCTGTAAGCGGAGTAAAATTTCCCTTCGGAACAAGGTGACACTTTACAAAACTTGCATAAGGCCCGTCATGACTTACGCGAGTGTGGTGTTCGCTCACGCGGCCCGCACATACATAGACACCCTCCAATCCCTACAATCCCGCTTTTGCAGGTTAGCCATCGGGGCTCCGTGGTTTGTGAGGAACATCGACTTACACGATGACCTGGGCCTCGAATCGATCCGCAAACACATGAAGTCAGTGTCGGAACGCTACTTCGATAAGGCTATGCGTCATGATAATCGCCTTATCGTTGTCGCCGTTGATTACTCTCCGAATCCTGATCACACAGAAGCAAGTCACCGTCGTCGCCCTAGACACGTCCTTACGGATCCATCAGATCCAATAACTCTTGCATTAGATACCTTCAGCTCTAACGCCTTATTCTTTAGGCCATGACAACAGAATTGTTTCCAGAACGGATAAACGGAATGTGAATTAATTAGTGAAGAACTTCATTATTATAATTATTATTTTATTGCCTAGATGTGTGGACGAGCTCACAGCCCACCTGGTGTTAAATGGTTACTGGAACCCGTAAACATCTACAACGTAAATGCGCCACACACCTTGAGATATAAGTTCTAAGGTCTCAGTATAGCTACAACGGCTGCCCCACCCTTCAAACCGAAACTCATTACTGCTTCACGGCAGAAATAGGCGGGGCGGTGGTACCTACCCGTGCGGACCCACAAGAGGTCCTACCACCAGTAAATTAAAAATTCACTTTAAATTTTCTAGACTAGTAGCATTTGATTTCAAAGTTAAACTGAAACGAGCGAATAAAAAAAAGGCATAGTTTTATTAAACAACAAATATTCTGTTTCGCTTTAGGGCTAAACTCTTGCATTATTATACACTGTAAATTAATATACTTTCTCGAAGCCCAAGGCTGGTCGCGTCTGAAGCGGATGTTTTTATATGTTTGTTTGCTCTTTTTAAAATGTTTTAAAGATATTTACTTAAGACTTATTCCACCGTGCGGACGTGTTTGTTTGAAATGACTGCAAAATAAAAATAGCAAAAAATTCTGTTCTGTCTTATTGTAGGTGAACTTATTTAGACGAATGAGCACTTTTAAAATGTTCGACCTTTATATAAATAATTATATAATTATATAATAATTATATTGTAGTAGATAATATTATTTTGGTAAACGAATATACACCGATGAACAAAGCACCATGATGCTGGGTGCTCTATAGTCAAAAGCAGTACAGCGCCTTACGCGTCCAATACAACAATGCGTTCGGACTGTTGTTAGGGCTGCCTCGGTTCTGTAGCGCGTCGGGAATGTTCGCCGAGGCACGAGTCGATAGTTTCTTTACGACCATGCGGAAAAGGTGCACATCCCTGATTCGCCGGGTCCGGGTCAGCCCTAACAGCATCCTGAAGGCATTAACAGACCGTTATGACTGTCGGTACTTGAACCATTGTACCATGGTTCACTTGCGGACTAAATAATAATAATAATGGTTGGTTCGAAGTAAGTATCAGTTGAATGGAATATTTGAAATGTATTCAACTGATAATTATTTTTAATAAATGTATCTTTTTTATTTGATTGGTTTTGTTAATTTTAAGTATGTTTCAATGATACTATGTACACATATGGACTTGTTTTTGTCTGAAATAAAAATAAATCATTCATCATTCATTCATAATTCCAGATTTATCTTAAAGTAAAATATATTTGTGTAGATAGTATAATAGTCACAGAATAACGCCGTTTAAATAACAAACCGAATTTCAGTTCGATACTAATTGTTTTCTTGAACAAAATAACATAAACAGCAACATTATAAGAATGGTTTTAGTAGCTTATTAAATTAAGCTTTCAACGTTGTCCTAGTTAGCTTTAAATAATTTTTGTTTCTCATAAGAACATAAAGCTCGCTTAGCGGAAGATACACCGATATTATAATTAGTATTATAGTAGTACATGTAGCGTTTTATTCTCTAGAGAGCTCGCTACGCTACTAGGCTTCGATAAATATCTTGATGTACTAAAACAATCAGTTTGTAAGTCAGTTTTAAAAATACTTTTTTTCATATTTCGCTCTGTTTATATGTTATGTAATTTGAATACTTTATTTACCAGTGGTGGATTTACACTAGGGGGCAGTCCGGGCAAGTGTCCAGGGCGGCAAAATTTTTTACCGCGAAAAAATTGTGAAAGTGAATAAAACATTTTTAGTCATCAAAATTGCTCAATTTAATTAGTTACTTCTATGAATCAATAATTTTCTGCTTAATTGATAATTCAAGAAATTCAATTCATCCATTATTTACGAATTATAATTTTGGCACTTTTGGGAAAAAATTATAATCAAAATTATTTAATCAATTTATTTCCTTCGTGATTTATAATAATAATCGATTTTTCGATTTTCTGGAGCTAAAGAAATTTAATTAGTTTTTTATTTTATTTAATATAATTATGAGTCACCCTTAGTGCCAAATTTAAATTTATATATAATTGTTAGAATAAAAACCAAATATTTATTTATGTTTTTGGAATATATCACATATAATAAAGTTTCTGCAATAAATTAGTTATTTAATTTTTTTAAATAAAATATATAAACTACTAGCTGACCCGGCAAACGTTGTTTTGCCATATATGCGCCATCTATTGATTACTTACTCAACCCAGTCGAAAGGTATCGACATCTGTTAGAATCATTTGGAGTTAACAGATAATTGTGACTGTCAAATAATAACAGACAAATAATTAGCAATAAATTAAAATTGCGACTATAATTTGAGATTTAAACTATCCTATCTCTCAAGTTGGATCGAACTGCACATGGTGTGCGAATTTTATTATAATCGGTTAAGTGGTTTAGGAGTCCATTGAGGACAAACATTGTGACACGAGATTTATATATATTAAGATAGTTTAAGTAAAATTCCAGTATTAGGGCGGATTCTTTCTGCCTGTATAAGTTTTCGAATGCTTCTACTACTTCGGTTGTGGTAATAGGCGGTAACGCGTCCGAGGATGGCAAGGAAGGAAGCTCTGCGCTCGATCTCCCTGTCCATTAAATCGGTGTTTCGGGGTCTGCAAGCTGAGCACTGGTGGTGCACAGTTCTTGCAGTGCATCGGCCAGTAACACTGCCTTTTCATCCTCAATGTAAGACGAGGGTTGATCGAAATAACGTACGAGAGGAGAGAGCGTAATGGCAATAGTTTCGGACATGATGGTCCATGCTAGTCGCCAGGAGAATAGGTGGGAGGGTGCGAGTCCTAATAAATAACTATCCCATTTTATTTATTTCGGGATTCGTCTAGGCGGGAATTAACGTCCCGATGTAAACGATGCATCCCAATCCGATTTAATTCTGTGGGATATCAATCGCGAACCTGGATTGCCGCGCTCCTAACTCTTAAGAGGTTCCTAAGTTCGTACGTTTTCTATCGCGGGTGAAGTATCAGGATTTCTATGGATTCGACGGGGTCATGGGGTAAAATCCGGACTATAGAGGAAGATTGGTGAGCCGGCTTCGGCCAATCTGGTGCTCAGTTTCTGCCAGTTTGACGATAAATCAGGAGTGGTCTGAGGAATTGTTCGAGATGATACCGGCATCTCGTTTTTACAATCGCACCGCCCGCCACCGGAGTAGAGTTCATCCATACTACCTGGAGCCACTGCGGTCATCCACAGTGCGTTTCCAGAGGTATTTTTTGCCACGTACCATCTGGCTATGGAATGAGCTCCCCTCCACGGTGTTTCCCGAGCGCTGTGACATGTCCCTCTTCAAACGAGGCTTGTGGAGAGTATTAAACAGTAGGCAGCTGGCATTGCTAAAGTCCATGGACTACGGTAACCACTCATCATCAGGTGGGCTGTATGCTCGTCTGCCTACAAGGGTAATTAAAAAAATATAAGGCATTAAAATGTGAAATGCGAGATTGAATCTTTAAAATTGTTTTACAGGTTAATGCCGCTTACACCATACTTTGTCTGTAGCAGCGGCCATGTTTCTAGTTGTCAATTAAAATACATTAAGATACATTCATTAAGTGTCGATCGAACACAATAAACTTACTATGTTGCAGTTTAGAACCAATAAGTACAATTCAGTAATGGACCAAACCGGGCACTTCGATTCGAATTAGAACGCTATTAGACTGATTGAACATTGCAATGACATACCGCGCTAGGAAACTGCGTTATTGTAAAATTTATCGTAATAGAGGTCCCGTAGTAGTCGAAATTCGACTATAATTGATTGGAATTGTAAGTTTGTACACTATTATGATTGTATTTTATACTTCTATAATCACAAATTGCGCCAAGGCTACACTATAAAAAATATTAACAAAGACAAAAAATATTTAATTTATTCTCAATTTGACAACAGACGTCAAGAACAAAAGTTTGACAATAAATAGTATGCATGCGTGTGTGGGTCAAATATATGGTATGTAGTGTGTGTAATGTTTTCTTTATTGATTTAATGTATCTTTTATGCATTATTTTAAAAAAATATTAGTATTGTGCACTTCTTCTCTATATTCTCTAAACGTGTGGAAAATTTCATACTCCTCCGTCCGCGCAATTTTCGTAAAAAGGGAAATAAAGTTTTTGCTTCACGTATTAATATATAGATACATCAATATCAAATAAACTATGTGTTAACGCCTAAGAATTTTTAAGGAGCAATGTACAAAATTTTATTTATGTTTACCTGCACCATTTTTACACACTTCAATTAATGGCCGTGCCAAGCTAACTTGTTCGCAACGTATTAAATTAACAAAAACCTGTATAAAGGAAATACAAGCACAAAATCGATTGTGGAAGTTTTATTGAAGAAACCCAAGCATCCAACACTATGCATTTTCCTAATTAATTCAAAGTTCTTATAAGGCAAGCGTTTGACCGACTTCAATTAAGGGGTAAAGGATGTTTTAAATTTATACCTAGTGCTCGCTAACAATCGTTTTTCGTCATAGGTTAACATCAGAAAGGTTGTGAGTTGGGCAAAAAAAATAACAAAGAACATTCAATAGGCTTGTTACTTTATTAAAATAGTATAAATATGTATTATATTATCAGTATTGTGTACAAAGAAAGTTGAACTTAGAAAGACTACGAAATTTACAATGTAAATTAATACTTAAAATTTAAAAAAAAAAACAGACTCCACGTGTTTTGTTGGAGCTAAGAGCTATTTTCGGATGGTCGGAAAAGTTCTCCGTTCGATATTTAATAAGAGTCAGTCGTATGAAGCGTCTAAGGAAAATAAATGTCAGCAATCGCAGCTAAGAATAATACCAGAAATTAGTTATCAATTTCCAATTTTAATCCTCAACGTGCTTTATCTAATTTTAGTTTTACTTTAGTTGGGATTCGTAAAATATGCCTCTAAATTTGGTTTCGGCTGATGATGGTGAGGATTCATCGAGTCAATTGTTATATTAAAATACAGAGGGAGATTCAAACTACAGCTACGGTGATCAATCGATCGACAATCTATACTAATATTACAAAGCTGAAGAGTTTGTTTGTTTGAACGCGCTAATCTCAGGTACTACTGATCCGATTTGAAAAATGCTTTCAGTGTTAGATAGTCCATTTATTGAAGAAGGCCATAGGCTATATGAGGCCATCAGCGCAAAAGTGGCCTAACCCACAATTTTTTATATTCAAGCTTATATGACGTATATTGGAATTTATTTAATTTAAAATATAATAGATTTTGACGCAAAGCCGGCCTATAGTCTCACCCATAGATAACAGATAGCTTGGTAAACATTTTTTTTGCGCGTATGGTTTTTTTTGCCTACTCATATTTAAATTCATGAAAATTTAAACCTAACTATACTAACCATGGTAAGCTTAGGCCACTTTTGCGCTAACGGTCTCATATAACATCACGCTAAGACCAATACGAGCAATAATAACCTCCTCTTGTGTATTAATATTTCGAATTCGAAAATTTTTGTTGCAGCCAATATGAGTGGCAACGGGAATCGACTTTCGAGGCCTATGCAGAGGAAGCTGGTAACGCTGCTGCAGTGTTCGATAACAGACGAGGAAGGTCGGGGCAGGGCCGCACGGGCAGCCAGGTCTCTTGGTGAACGGACGGTCACTGAACTCATACTTCAACATCAGGTTAGTTTGATTACATACAGAGTGACAGCCCTAGTGAAGAACATAATTTACCAAACTTACCCGCCATGGACGGTTTCAAATTACTTTATAGAATATTATTTTTGAATTTTTATTACTGGTGGTAGGACCTCTTGTGAGTCCGCACGGGTGGGTGCCACCGCCCTGCCTATTTCTGCCGTGAAGCAGTGATGCGTTTCGATTTGAAGGGTGAGGCAGCTATTGTAACTAACTATACTGAGGCCTTAGAACTTGGGACCTTGGAACAACACTACAAACACAAACTTTTATATATCTGTTTGAAGCTTATCTTTCGCTACAGTATGATAGCTTGATTACGATTTGAGCGAAAAACAGATTTCTGAAGGTGTTTGTGCTTAATTGTTTTAATCGGTATCTTTGATGAGAACTTTAATTCTGAAAGCAAGTGTAAAGGTAAATAATTCCTTAAGTCCATACTTAACGTACCTAAATGTGGGTTAAATCGAATCGTTAATATTATTGTTTAAAAGCTGTACTATAACTTTATAAGTCTACGCATATATCAAATTGATTTTTGCTCGAATACAATATTTATCAGTATCGGATTTAATTCGCCGGTGAACTAAAATTGTCTTTCACAATGATTGACGCATGTTCACTGTTTTAATTGACTAACTCGGTGAAATGCGCGTTCGTCTGCCAATAAAAGCTTTGTATTTTGAAATAGTGGTGTGTGTATTAATTTTGTAACTAGAGGTCCCGCAGTAGTCGAAATTCGACTATAATTAATTGGAATTGTATAATAAGTTTGTACACTATTATGATTGTATTTTATACTTCTATAATCACAAATTTCGCCAAGGCTATACTATAAAAAAATATTAATAGAGACAAACAATATTTAATCTATTCTCAATTTGACCACAGACATCAAGAACAATAAATAGTATGCATGCGTGTGTGCGTCAAATACATGTTATGTAGTGTGCGTAATGTTTTCTTTATTGATTTAATATATCTTTTATGCATTCTTTTAAAAAAACATTAGCATTGTGCACTTCTTCTCTATATTCTCTATAAGTGTGGAAAATTGCATACTCCTCCGTCCGCGCATTTTTCGTAAAAAGGGATACAAAGTTTTTGCTTCACGTATTAATATATAGATTTAGTATTAATTGTAATTTAGTATCTAAGTCGACGTAATAACGATCGAATCGGTTCGAAGAAATGTCCGCTTCTTAGTTCAATACGAGTATTACGTCTAATTCGATTGGTACGTTCTTAACTTAAGTATTTGTTTTATAAAATCACATTTCGTAATTCGATCAGTTCGCTAGTCTCAGACATAATTAAAACTACGTTGACGATTTTGTGTTACTATTGTCGTTTTATTATGTCCGAAGTTTCGAAACAAACGGTAAAAAGTCAAGAAATATTTTTTATTGATAAAAATTGACTGTAGTTAACATGATATTCAAATGTCGACATAAAATATTCTAGTCATCGGTGACGACGGAAACAGTGAAGTCGGGGAAGTAATATAATAACAATAATAAACGCAAGATTATTCTGTAAAAGTAGTTTTAATTTTTATTTTTTTATTATTGAGTACTAGTGAAACATTCGGTTGTGACTATTGATGATAATATAAAAATATTCCCGCGCTTTCTCCGGTCATCATTCTTATCGAACCAGTCGACGAAGGGCTCGGCGTGTTAATTAACCCACCGACACAGCCCACTGAGTTTCTCGCCGAATCTTCTCAGTGAGTCGCGTTTTCGATCCGGTGGTAGATTCTGCGAAGCACTGCTCTTGCTAGAGTTAGTGTTAGCAACGTCGTCAGATTTGAGCCCCGTGAGCTCACCTACTCGCTCGGTTCCGTTGGCATAGCCTCTCAAGGCTAGCAGCTTAGGTAGAAAAAAAAAGCGCTTTTATCAATAGCTTTCTTTCAAAATAATACCTTGTACTAACCATTATGAATATAACTAAAAATAAATCAATTAAAACCAGTCGAACCGTTTTCAAGTGATGCTCACTCAGACATGTACAAAGGATTATAGATTACAGGTTCATTATTTACGGAATAAATAGGCAGATTAAATTTGTAAATATTATGTATTATTTTTGTGGAAGTCGGTAAACAGGTTTAACGGCAATACCTGCTTAACTTTTCCGAATTACTCGAGGTTATTGTGTCTTCTTAGACACTATGAACTAAGTTAGAGAAGGCCGACTCGCAGCTGTAATGACTCCGATTGTGATTGTCTTCTTCTAAACCTACAAATCAATGGACGTACACTTGAATTTATTAACGACCGTTCAACTCTTTCGATAGATGCAGATACAGCCATATAAATTCAATTAAAATAATCTTTCAAGTAAAAAGATAGCGTAGCAATTCAATTGAAAAAATCTTGTCGACTCATTGGAGGGAACAACATTCAATGGATTATGTCTATTCTTCGATTGTTTTTTTTTAACTTCTTCAAGGATATCGGCACATACTATGTGTACATTTGATTTATTATTATTATTTATATATTAAATTCAATATGAAATGGCCACATTTATATATTTTTTCGGATATATATTTTTTTAATAAATATTCTCTATGTTTGCTAATTTTTTTTTGTTCTTATTGAATTATTATAAATTTAAAATGAACAAATCGCAAAAAAGAATAAACTAAACTCAAGTTTTTGTACTTTAAAAAAATCGTCCCTGAAGAGGTTAAAGCGATTTTGCACCAACCTTGTGCCCAACCCTGTTTGCTGCGTTTTCTATCTCTAATTTTTATAGATTACATCATGTACACTACTTCATGATCTCTCTGCTTTACTTAATATTTTTTTTGGTTTTCACGAGTAAATATAATTAAAACCAGTTTTATTTCGCGAATATTTCCGAAGTTTCGAATTTATTTTTAAATTTTATAAAACGCGTGACTATACCACAAAACTAGTCTCAATTATACAGCTCGTCCTTATAATCTCAAATAATAATGTATAATAGTTAATGAATTATCAATTTTGTACCCAGAATCCGCAGCAGCTAAGCGCCAACTTATGGGCGGCAGTGAGGGCGCGTGGTTGCCAATTCCTTGGTCCTGCTATGCAGGAAGAGGTGTTAAAATTGGTACTCCTCGCACTCGAAGACGGTTCCGCACTCTCCCGAAAGGTAATCAATTAAATATAATAATTATGCTATAATAGTGTTTCACGGAACGAGGAAATGGTTGACTGATAGATTATGGGGTCGTCACGAGGTTGTACGTTGAACATTACGAGGTATGTATTTTGAATATCAAAGCTATTTTATAAATTAATAAAAACTAGTGGTTCCCCGGTAGTCGAAATTCGACTATAATTAATTGAAATTATAGGTTTGTACACTATTATGATTCTATTGTCAAAGACTATTTATACTTGAATAATCACAATTTCGCCAAGACTACACTTTAGACTTTAGACAAATTTTAATAAAGATAAACAATATTTAGGTAATCTATTCTCAATTTGACCACTAACTATAATCGATAAGAAAAGTTTGACAATAAACAAATAGTATGCATGCGTGTGTGTGTCGAATACATGGTAGTGTGTGTAGTGTTTTCTTAAATTGATTTATTGTATTTTTTGTGCATAATTTAAAAAAAAATTACATTCTGCACTCCTTCTCTATATTCTCTATAACTGTGGGAAATTTCATTCTACCCCACCCGTGCAATTTTCGTAAAAAGCGGTACAAAGTTTTTGCTTTACGCATTAATATATAGATGAACATCTTCCACTGTGTAGGATCATCTTCATCTAATACAATAAAATCGAACCAGAAAAATTATGGACGAATTTCCGAATATTTTTTGAACTTTATATTAAATCATTATTGAGTTCCCATCAGCGTGTATTTGGAATAGACCCTTAAGCTTCCAACGATTAGATAGGGGAAAAAAATTGAGATTTCGACCCCATCTTTCTAGATCGCGTCACTCTGCACCCCAATTGAGTTTTCATTCTAAATACTGATTTAAAAATTCATTATATGAATTTGATAATCTTCTAGAAAAATTAAAAAAATTGCTTTAATACACATCGACAAAGGTTGCCTGAAAGAGATCGCTTTAAGCGATATAGCCGCCCATTGTAACACTCTTTTTCTTCATATGTTCATTGTCACGTGCCTTTACATTATTTGTTAGTGACGTTCAATGAAAAGTTTATTCAACAAGTTTTTCTTTATTTGCGAAAAGTTTAAAATTACTGATAGCTATAACGACTAGTATTTAAAAACGCAAGTCATTGAAACAAATTCAGTACCTAGTTTTCTGTGTAATTTTTTATACTAATGATCTCATTCAGGTTATATAATATGCATACCTATATTTACTTGTCATCATCATTCTCCTGTCCTTCTCTACATATCGTCTTGCACGCAATCTATCTATTTCTTTTTAGGTCTACCTCTCCCTCTACCTCTCCTTACCTGTACTTACTTGTATACTTTTAATATTACTCCTTTTTTTTTAACAGGTACTAGTGATGTTTGTGGTTCAAAGACTGGAGCCGCATTTTCCGCAGGCCTCAAAAACAAGCATCGGGCATGTAGTGCAGCTTCTGTACCGCGCCTCATGTTTTAAGGTGAGGTCTTTATCTTGGAGAGTCACAATCCCCTCCTGGCCTTGCCCGCCCATCTGCCCTAGTGAAACTGGAAAGGCCTCCGGGCCACCAGTAATCCTTCATTACAAAAAAATTAAAAAATTAAAAAGAATCACAATATGGCATGTTGCTGGTTTTACTGAAATCAAAATGTAGTTAACGATAATTTTTTTATTATTAAAATAACAATATTTACAGTTTGTAACAATACTTTTTTGTTAAGTAAAATCTATGAGTTTACAGTCTGGTATTATATAATTTTGAGTAAAGAAAAAAACTAATTGAAAATCATACCAGGCTACACAGGTTTAAGTTTTGGAAAATTGTTAAAACGATCATATATCTCCTCAAAATATTTTATTCACATTTAGTATTGTATTTAATACTGCCCAAATTCTATAATAAAAAAGTTTTATTGTCAACTAATGAGGCAGTCACCTTTTTTCAAAAGCAGCGCCATCTTTTGCCCATCTCTCAAATGACCTGCCACCGTAGTGGTAAAGGTTAAGAAATTAGTTCTTTTTCTCGCCGTTTTTTTTTTAACAAACAAATACAATAACTTGTCACCGTAATCTTTGAATTGTTTTATTTAAGAGTACGTATATAATATAGAACATTTTAAACAAAAGTTAATGTGGATAAACACCGATTAATTGGTTTAATTAGTAAACTTAGAGCCCGTTGGATTTACAGAGAAATGTAAACCCTTGAATGCCTTTGTAATAGGTATCGAAAAGGGAGTCAGATTCGTCGCTCATGCAACTCAAGGAGGAATTCCGTACGTACGATTCATTGAGGCGCGAACACGACGCTCAGATAGTTCAGATCGCCACCGAATCAGGTTTGAGAATCGCACCCGATCAGTGGAGTGCTTTGTTGTATGGCGACACCGCGCATAAGAGTCACATGCAGAGCATCATAGGTGAGTCATAGTATTTTGATCTCTGTCCAAATAATAATAAGGTTTACAAGCCGGATATAGAATTGGTCATCACTTCGAACCTTAACGTTTTGTGTCATACTTCTATATTCTGTTCCTCATTCCCAAACATCGCTCTCATGAGTTTAGCAACAGTGCTAAGAACCTGTAGACATCTCGGTACAAATAACCTTCCTTTAAAATTATCTTCCTTCTCAGGCCATCATACTAATTAAGGATATAATGTTCATTCTGTACTCCTCCTTTCCACAATATACAAATGATGTCATCGATAGCAACATAATATAGTGAATCGAGTGTTGCTAGCCACAGATTACAATGTGGGAATTTGTAGTTCGGCAGTGGCAACACCAAAAAAGTGATTTCACAAGGTGCTCGGACACTACTCTTTATACTGTAATCATTTTACCACGATCGTCACCACTGGCATTGACTCAAAGCTACCAAGTTCTATGGGAACCTCTGAGTCTACGTGAGGATTGCGGCTCTCTCTGTACTTTGTCCTCCTCCTCCTCGTGTCGTTTTCCTCATTACTGAGGGTCGTGACTCCCCCGCTGCATCAGTTTCTCCTGTACAATTTCCCTCCATCTGCTGCGATCCTTAGCTTCATGGAGGGCATTGTGGAAGTTGATGTCCAGAGAAGATCGTATTTGGTCCGACCATCTCGTAGGACTGCGTCCTCTGGGACGTTTGCCATTTGACCTTTGACGTTTCCTGTCACTATCAGCTGTTCAAGATTGTGACCCTCTCTCTCTGTGCTTTGTACCGTATGTTCAATGGGGAGTGCTCTGAGAAATAATTCGATATGATTCCTTCATCTCTTTTTTACCATCACATCTCCCGTCACCGGAAGAGAGTTCATCCATACTTTCTGGAACCGCTGCGTTCATCGACAGTGTGTTTCTAGAGATCTTTTTTGCCACGTATCATCCGGCTCTAGAATGAACTCCCCTCCACGGTGCTTCCAGAGCCCTATGATACGTCCTTCTTCAAATGTGGCTTTCGGAAAGTAGTCAGCATTGGTGTTGTCCCTGAGCGACGGTAACCACTCACCATTAGGCGGGCCGTATTCTTATCTGTCTAAAAAGTCAAGAAAAAACCTCAATTTGTTTGTTAACGTGGTAAATACAACGAAACAAAACATTTCATGAAACCATTCGATGATAACCTTCGTCTACATGTAGTTGACTCATTTGAAATGTAGCTGTACAGATTCAATGTCAATCATGTCATTGGAAATAGCGAGAATTACATTTTGGAACAGGAAATTCGAATTCGGAGGCTTCATGGTTTTGGCTTTAGGTAAATTTAGTTGAATAGACGTATCCACTATATTTATAAAGTATCCAGACATTTTGTAATCAACTATTTTTGTTATTGGTGCACAAAATTACTTTCTTCTAATTCCAATGGATACGCATGCCTAAATTTATCACGGCATCCTTGAACTAACTAACCGAAAAAAACGTTCTGTATATCTAACCGTTCGAAGAGTGGGGCAGCCGTTGTAACTATACTAAGACCTTAGAACTCATATCTCAAGGTGGAACAGCGCCCCTAGCGGCAAACGAAGAGAAAAATACAAATATGAGTTAACTTTTACGCGATCGAGGAGTTAAAAAACTCACACTAGAAGCACACAGGAAGACTGTAAAGTATTCAAAACAATATAATGACAATAAAAAAAGGCAAGTTTAAGCCGCAAATATGATTTAATGTTGAGTACATACACTAAGCAGAAGTCGTTGGGTACAGATAAATTACAGACGCCTCAGTCATTTGCCCAATCGGTCCAAGAGCTGTTTGTCGCGCTGCAACGTACCGGAGACCCGGAACAACTGGTGACAATGAGCATGCATCTCGATAAACTCGCAAACATCGACGCCAACGCCGGTAAGACACCCTTAATCACTTCATATTCGACAGTCAGTATTTTAAGGACTTATATGAACTATTATTTTTTAATACGTGTTTTATTAGCTTCCTACGTATGTTAATTAATTTTAAGTCGTCGTGGCCTAAAGGATAAGACGTTCGCTGCATTCGTATGTAGCGATGCAACGGTGTTCGAATCCCGCTGGCGGGGACCAATTTTTCTAATGAAATACGTACTTGACAAATGTTTACGATTGACTTCCTTTTTTTTTCCTACCTAAGCTGGTAGCCTTGAGAGGCTATTCCAGCGTAACCTTAACTAGTAGGTGAGCTCACGGGGCTCGAACCTGAGGACGTTGCTAACACGAACCCTAGCAAGAGCCGTGCTTCGCAGAATCTACCACCGGATCGGAAACGCGACCCACTGAGAAGATCCGGCGAGAAACTCAGTGGGCTGTGTCTGAGAGTTAATTTACTCGTCGAGCCCTTCGTCGCAAGCGACGGGTTCGACGAGAACGGTGACCGGTGCTTGAAGTACCTAAAAGCACCGTTAGTGGATCGGGAGGATCCGAAATGACGTGTTTTGGGCGACGTCGACTGCTTTCCATACGGTGAAGGAATAACATCGTGTAATAAAATAAGTCCGCACGGGTAGGTTGTGGCCCCTCCATTTCTGCCGGGAAGCAGTAATGCGTTTTGGTTTGAAGGGCGGGGCAGCCGTTGTACCTATACTGAGACATTAGAACTTATATCTCAAGGTGGGTGGCGCATTTACGTTGTAGATGTCCATGGGCTCCAGTAACCACTTAACACCAGGTGGGCTGTGAACTCGTCCAACCAAAAAAACCCTGCTTGGCGACGAAATACGTAAAATATCGGATTATAAATAATTATACTTTACGGCCCATATTCACCGACCTTCTATTACCAGCGCAACTGGCATTGATTCCCGGTCAGAAACGTTTCCTTTTCTAAGAGAATTTTTCATTCAAGATCTGGATGTATCGGTTTTTTCTAATAAGCTATAAAGACCGCTAGCATGTGATAAGAATTTAACATGTGGTCCTCGAGATCTATTCAAAATAAAAGTGGAGAGTACTTAAAGGTAGGCAGCGACTTGGCTCTGTCCCTGTCATTGCTGACGTCTACGGGCGACGCTAAACACTCACCATCAGATGGGCCGACTATTCTATGCCAAGAGTTCCTAATAAATTTAATTATTTGAGATTCCAAATGGCAAGTTTAAGAATTTCTTGCAGATGCTAAAAGCCCAACATGGAAGCAAATGGCCGATGTGATGACGTCATTAAAGGAGGTTGTGATCGGACTGATCAATTACATTCAGCAACAAGCGGCCGGAAAAGACATGAACCAAGGGCAAAAGGATCTACGAAACGAACCATCAACTAGTAAGTTTTTTTTTTACTTCACAATATTTTATCATCTGAAATTGATATTACATTCTCGTTCATCTGAATAATATTGACTTAAGGATTATTTTATGGATGTCAGATACTAAGCTATCTAACATGCCATGTCGGATCGCCTGCTCTTTGGGTCCAGGAGTGACTCCCTGATTATCAGTTCAACGTATCTTAGTTGCAGCTCCCTCCTCTCATCGAGAATCTCTTCAGGATAGTTTTCGGAAACATCATACAACACACATATTTAATTTTTGTCAATCAGCTTAGGATGTTTTCGTTTTTGTTATTTGTTTAAAAAAAATATTTGTATGGCCACCTGATAATAAGCTAGGGCTAGTCAGACAGAGGGCAACATACAGTTTTTCAGTCGTAAGCATCCTTCTTCTTTTCTCTTCGGTTTCCTCAATACCGAGGGCCGTGGTCGCAACAAGAGTTTATTCCAGATGGTTCCACGCCATTTGCTTTTATCTGCCGCCGAGTGTAGAGCATCGTGAATTGTAGTGCCGAGGGTAGTCAAATCTGGTCAGTCCAACGTGTCGGACGTCTACCTCGTTGTCTTCTTCTGTCCACCTTGCCAGTCGCCATTAGCTTCTCCAAGCTGCCGTTTTCCTTTCTTGCAATGTGGCCAAAGTATTTCAGAACTCTACGAAGGCAGATGGTGGAAAGCCTCGTCTTTATCTGAAGTTCTTCGAGGATCGACACGTTGGTGCGACGTGCTGTCCAGGGAATTCCTAGCATTTTTCGCCAGCACCACAACTCAAATGCGTTAATTCGGTCGCGATCCGCTTTCTTCAAAGTCCAGGTCTTTGCGCCGTATAAAAATATGGAGAACACTAAAGTGCGTAGAAGATTGCCCTTGGTTTTCAAGGAGATATTTTCAGTTAGTATGGATTAGGGTATATATTCAGCTATTTCAATAATTCGGCGAGAATGCGAGGTTTGATAGTAACTAAATTGTTTTATTTTGTTGATATTTTCTTCAGCCTTAAACGTGATACGATGGCTATTAATCGTTTAATATTTATAAAGGCGCACAACTGTAGCAAAATGAAACCATAGCGCTGCATGTAGGTTTTCAGGATAATCCAAAAAGTTCTGTGAGGTTTAAGTTAAGCGAACTCCGACCATTTTACGGGTTCTTTAATTTATTTCATTCAATTTCATTGCAAAATCATTTTTCAGATTTATAAATTTTATTTCGGGTTGCAGCAGAAAATATGCCTTGAGTTTCATTTTAAAAAATTTGGCTGTATGGTTATTGTTTCTTTTGCGTTTTACAGACCAAACCCACTTAAAAAATGTGTGTCACAACAATCAAAACAGCTTAATTTTCTGTTATTATTTATTTTTATTTTTAGCCTTTATGCAACAAACTAAGAAAAAATGTATTTTGCATTTACATATTATTAAAGTTACATTTTCGGAGGTATTTGTTTTATGTTTAAGTCTTGATGCATTTTTCAATTTTAGTATAAAAACATTGAAATAAAAAAAAATAGTCTAACCAAAATAATAAATACCGCCAGTTTTAAAATAAATTACATATTATGTTGTAGCAATAAGACGTCTTTCCGGTTCACACTCAATCCCGTAAAACAGTTGCTGGAAGTAATAATTATTATCAGTTACACACTCAATGAAGAATCTTTAAATTCAAATTCAAATTCAAATTAATTTAATAATTTAATAATTCAATAATTTTTGTATTTCATTATTTAGGAGGAAAATTATGAATTATTAAAGTATCATTATTTTTATTTTTTTTTTGTTTACCATTAAATTTAAAAAAGTAACTAACTAAAATAACTTTAAAGAGGATGTTAACATTAAAAAAAATTAGTAATGCTTCCTTAATAATTTAGAGCAATTAAATGATGTATTGCACAGTATAATAACAAACACTGAGTGATAATATTATGCTCATTGGAACTCTAGGAATCTAATAGATAACAAATATTGCTTATGTTGAGTTTCCAAAACAACTATTTATTGACTATATGAAGTTTATTGTTATTATTGTTGTACAATTAGTGTTAATGAATTAGGTCAATCATCACCGCAAGCCCGTACGACACCGACACCTACCCAGGGGAGGTACAAGATGGCTATGTGTAAGGATGTTCTGAGATCATTGTGTCCGAGGGGAAATTCATGCATGTATGCACATTCTGAAGAGGAACTAGAAAGGTATAGACGTTTAACAGGATTGACATGGTCACAACAAATATATGCATTGGCGGTAGTTTAAACTTTTAATGTGCTATTTCATTGTTTGAGAGTGGAACAAATAGATATTTTTTATAATATCATTTAACATAGTTTTGATATGTTTCTGATTGACTGATATAAAAAAAACCGTTAATGCATGTAATTAAATGTACAATCATTCACATACTAATGCAGTTTTGTTTCAAGGAAGCTATACACTTAAAGCCAACTTAATTAGAGATTATAATAATAAGAGTAATATTAATTCAAAGAAATGTGATGAGACAAAAGAAAAATAGTATTTTGATTAAAACTTATAAATTACTATGAACTATCACCTAATTTTGTTGGTCAATTCCTTGAAGATTAAGTGTCTTGTATAATGAATGACAATGGCATCTGAGTTAATTTATTAACATGCTAGCTTAATTTAATTATCTGATGTGTTTGTAAATACTTGACCTAGAAGTAATGAAAATATTGTATTTCCTTTTGAAAAAATCATTTTCAGTAAAATTTCTTTTATGATCTTATATAAAAAGGTTCTATGAAAATTTAATATTTATGTTACTGTGACATAATAACCAAAGGCACTTCCATGCCATGCTTGTGAAGTTCTTAAGAGGAGTTATTTGTGTGCCTATTTTATTATAAGCAAATGGCTAATTATTATAACTAATTTAAAGGAGATAACCAAATGAAATTACAACAAGGATATTATACATATTATCATTCTATCTTGAGAGGAGTCTGCTATTAAAATGATGCCTACGGTTCCAGTCCGCATTTACTGAAAGGATTTTGTTAGGACAAAGCAATAGTCCGTTCTATGAGAAACAAGTGAAACATAATCACAATGGAGAGAAAGAAGAAGAAGAAAAAATTTAAAATATTATAATTTTCTTTACAAGCAGATTCTAAATAACCAGATTACCCAATCAAATGACAGTTAAATTCCTGACTGCTTGTTGAAAGCGTTAATTGTGGTAAAGTATACTGTGAATCTGCAGAGATTCTACTATGCTTAATATCTCTGCTACAAATGTTACAGAACCAAATGAGACTTTAAGTCTCAAGTAATTACAATAAGCTGGCGATTGACTGTAACTTCAATGTAATAAAACATTTTATTATGTGTACAACTAATACAGTATTATGTCAGAACAATGAGAGTATTATGTCAGTAGCCACCTTAAATATTCAATTGTGCCACAATATCTGTGTTTGAAACTTTTTTAACATATTGTTTCTCAATAATACATAATTTATTTTGCTTCAAGGAGGCGCCTGATAAATCAGATCAGACCTGTGTATCGTCCTGTATGGTGGGCATTACATTACTCGGTATCCTGGTACCAAGTGAATTATGAATTAATTCAAATTAGACCCCATGTGTTTGTCGTTAGGTACATATCGTACATCAAATACATATCTTTTGTAATCTCTATGTGTTTTAGAATGGATATGAAATAAAGTATTTAGTGTTATGACTGTCTTTTCATTGTATATCTTTTGTTTACAGTAATTAAAATTACCTGATTTTTACTGTAACTCTTCTATCATGTGAGCGATTTTTATTTTGAATTATAGTCCTACAAAACACTATTTTTATTATTTTTTCGTTTTATTTTATTATTTAAGATATGTTTTAATTTTTGTTTATGTTAACTTAATTTTATTACTACCTTATATTTTAAGGTTTGTCGAAGTAGAAACATTATGTTGCGTTTTCTGAAGCCACTTGTCTTATTTTATCAAGTGGAGTTCTCGATTTCGTTTTTGATTTAATTAGCTTTTGATATGACTTAATTTCACGTAAGTGTTATTGTCGTGCTGAATTTGTGCTTCAGTCAGTCACCTTCCACTACCAGAATGCTAACGTACCTTTCCTTTTGCTGTCAATGTGCATGGTCGTGAAGAATTGCTAAATGTATACATATTATTAAGAATAGTTAATGAATGTTCAACGTTGTGATGCGTTCCCGTCAGCTGAGACGCGTCTCGAAGCGGGGCCTGCGCCCGTGGTACCTCACGCCAGATTATAAATGACACAGCGTAACACTGACTGTAGCGCAGTTATTGTTCTGAATCTTGTTAATAGGTTTCGCAGCACCGCGAGTAAGTTCTTTCGTGTGTTTGTACAGATATCGAGCGATGATGGCAAACATAAATGGACACTTTCAGTTCATGCCCGGGATAGTAGGAGTGCCCGCTCTCCAGCATGGACTGACGCCGATGCAACCTGGCTTGGCACCGATCCTACCTGGTCAGCCAATACACATAATTCCCAACATGTATAATCAATTCGCGATGCCACAACACGTCGACCCCTCTGCTTTCGGTGCCCAGTGTGAGTAATTTATATCATAAACGAAAGACATGACTAACAATTATAAATATTAATGATGTTATTACAGAATAGCAAAAAAAGTTTATGGAAAATCAATTTTTTTGTTGTTTTTCATATTAATCATAATTGACCTACATTGCTTGTCCGTTGTGAGTATATTTTTTTCTTCTTGCAGCCATGCAGGGAATGCCGCCTCAATCGATGCAGTCGCAAGGAATCCAACCACAATCAATGCAATCCCAGGGAATCCAACCGCAATCGATGCAACCCCAAGGAACCACACTGCAATCTATGCAATCCCAAGGAATGCAACCTCAATCGATGCAATCTCAGGGAATCCAGTCACAATCGATACAACCCCAAGGAGTCCAACCGCAATCGATGCAATCCCAGAGTATCCAACCACAATCAATGCAAGCCCAAGGAATCCAAACGCAATCGATGCAACCCCAGGGACTGCAATCGCAGCCACAGGGATTACGGCCCGTGCAGGCTGCCTCTGTGGAAATGCCCGAACTGATTGACCTGCAACAAAATCCGTAAGTTTCACTTCTCACATACGGCTTCCAATGTTGGAATTTACCAGGAAACTAAAGGCAATTGGATAACATATATTGCCATCTATAACATGTGTTTAATATAGCCATGGCGGTGTTGGTGTTGCTGTAGGTTTTACGGTCATGAGGAAATCGAACCCCCCCTTGTCACATTTTTATACCCCCCCACCCTGATGTGTCGTCACACGTTTTTTCAATTTATTAATAACTATAGTTCAATTTCATAGATTTTTAAAGTTTTTTATTCACGTCTAAACTTAGCGTTTTAATATTTTAAATTTTAACATGTGACGTCACAAAACTATTGACCCCCCATGCCCCTTGTCACACTATGTCACATTTCGGTGATACCCCCAAGGCGGCCTGGCCTTTTGCCGTACCGCGGAGACCGGTGTTGTTGCTCGTAGATTATCGCCTCGACTATCCGTCGGTCGCGCGTCCTCGGGGTGGCACTACGAGTCTGATTGTAGTGTTGGCCACAGGAAGTCCCCTGCTCTGCCCGGGCACTGACCCCAGGCGGAGATCGGACGTTGAATGAGAGAGTGCAAGGAGAGCTATTTGGTGGGTAGGGCCCTAAACATCCCTGGACCCAAACCCCGGACGGCCCCTAGGCGCGGAAATCTCAGGAATGAGGTTAGGCACCGTGCAAGAAAAAAAAAAGGCTCCACGATCACACTAACCGTACTGTTAAGAACTTTGTCTCATAGATATCCCGTGTTCGTTCTATTATTATCAAACGATCTCACAGTCTATTTAAACAACAGGAATTTCGTTCAACAAAATATGCCGTCGGGTCCGCGTCGCATCTACGATCTTAACTCTGGCAATCCGAACTTTAACTTCGCCCAGCAGTATCAGCACCCTGAGTATCCGACTTCGGTGTATGGGGTGCCGGAAGGATCCAACCAAATGTACATGCCGACGGCTTCTAACCTCTACCCCTTCGAAGACGGTAATTATTTTGTAACTCTTGAAGCTTACATGACGCGAAACGTCAGACTCGATATTTTTTGTACCTCATATATCCTATAATATGAATGTCGTTCTTCGGATCCTTCACTGAGAAGAGTATGCCCCGGTCTTATATTAGATGCTAGGGTTGCTCTCCAACCTCTGGTTACTTTTTAACTCAAGCGGATTGTAAACTCGTCCGGGTCAATACGACCGTCCTACCTATTTATGCCACGTATGCTCTTATGCATTGTGCGTCATGGAACCAGACTGAGTATTTCACTTCACTATCCATCTACTCGAAGATCGAGAGAAAGAGACCGCGCGGGCGCAGTCTGGCAAGATGGTTCGACCAAATCCGCACCACACTAGAGATCCCATTCTACGACGCCCTTTATGCGGCCAATGATCGGAGGCGCTGGCGGGACATTACAAGAAGTAAAATCATGTCGAAGTATAATGATCACGACCCTCAGCAACAGGCGAACGACGCGAGGAGGATCCATCTACTGCAATAAAAAACCTAGAAGCGCTTAGAGTTGTCGAAGGAGGCTAATAGTATTATCTAATCATAAACAGCCGGTCTGAACAATTACCACTAGCAAGAATTACTGGTCAAAAAATCATCGTTATTCCATTGCTGTTGGAATAGCTATATTAGTAACTCGTTTTGTTCTGATTTCGTTAGGAGCAGCGCCAATCCAGTCCCCGATCGACATCCGTTCTGAATTGCGATCCGACATCCGCGTGAACATCCCGGCTCCGCAGTATCCTTCGATGCATCACGTCCCGAGGACCGAAGTGACCTGGCCAGTTGGGCCGATGCCCCCGATATCCCAGATGTCTCAAGGACAACAAGTGCCCCCCGGCCCACAGGTGCCTGTTACCGATGTTAGTAGATTATTTACTGTATTCTCCCAGGCTGGAAGCAACTGACGCAGATAGGAGACCATTAGAAATAAGGCCCACGCTAATTAGTCGGACCATCGCCAAATGTTTTTAAGCGCAAACTCGGATTTTCGATTACTTCTACTGTATCGTTTTTTTAGTGTGTAGACCGGTGAACGAACCCACGGCCCACTCGATGTTAAGTGGCATCGCATTATAACATAATTTATTATTATTGCTTAGATGTGTAGACGAGCTCACAGCCCACCTGGTGTTAAGTGGTTACTGGAGTCCATAGACATCTACAACGGAAATGCTCCACCCACCTTGAGATATAAGTTCTAAGGTCTCAAGTATAGTTACAACGGCTGCCCAACCCTTCAAACCGAAATGCATTACTGCTTCGCAGCAGAAATGGAGTACCTATTCCATTCGGTCATACATACATTAACATACATTAATATCGGTTGTACTGCTACACCGCTGGTCACAGTCGAATATTCTCTTTAAACTCCTACAACCATTAATGTACACGTCCTTACGGATCCATCAGATCCAAAAACTCTTAGCATTAGACCCTCTCTTAGCATTAGGCCTTCAACTCTAACGCTAGGAGCAGGCTTAGGGACCCCGGTAACCCAACTCATCGTACTCGGCAAAGAGTTCGTCGTGCTACCTAACCCCCATGCATCAGCTCGCTGAGTTTCCCGCCGGATCTTCTCAGCGGGTCGCGATTCCGATCCAGTAGTAGATTCATTTGCGAAGCAGTTGCTCTTGAGTTGTTAGGTCTCCTTTGGAGGCGCTCGGGCAGCTGTTAGCAAATCCCACCCCTCCTTTGCTAAGCCTTTGCTCGCCCACCTGTCCTGGTGAAACTGAAAAGGCCTCCGGGCCACCAGTAATCCCTAAGTCATAAAAAAAACTATTGCTGTATATCGACCAATGAAAATGAGGGCCAAACAACCATATTTATTTTGAGGGCCAAACGACCATATTTGTTTTTAATTAAAAAATTGCCCCTCCCAATTAGGTATACGCTTTCGAAAATATCCGTGATGCTCTGCCAACTGTAGCTCGCAGCTCGGCCCCTCTAGACAGGGTAAGTGCCATGATTATTGGGATATTTTCTGTTTGTTGATAAATCTTTTAGCTAGCTGATGTGGCAGTGGATGGGTCCACATAACGCGCAGATCAGACGCCCAATGAGATAGGAAGATCCTCGAGTGGAGACCATGTACTGGCAAACGCAGTGTTGCTGCCACCTACCTGGTAGAAACCGCTGGGTCACGTCGGATGCAGGCGGCGACGGACCGGCCCTATTGGAGATCGATTGGAGAGACCCATGTTCAGCACTGGACAGCTATAGACTGAGATGATGATGAGATAAATCTTCATATTTACAGTTATATAACTTTAGGTGTCCATAATGTCCAAATCTTAAAATTGAACATTATAATGTCGTTTTTCATTTTTTTACTTAAACAATTAATTGAAGAAACGAGTGAATGAAGATGTTAAATGCCATTTTTGAGTTTTTAAATTGAATGAAAGTGGAATGTGCCTATAAACCATATTAGACCTTAAAGCTCCAGGTTTAAAAGCTATTTTTAGAAATTGCATGTTATGAAGGAGTTAGGTATGAAGAAAAAGTTTAAACTGTAATTAATTGTGATTGAATTAAATGAAACGAAATGAGATGGCCTTAAATAGAATATGAATAAAACGGTGGTTATCTAGGTGGATATTTTAGAAGATCCCGAGGAATCGCGCTCGGCGGTTTTGTTTCTTGTTCACTTGTGCACTTTCACAGATGCTAAACGGTTTATAAACCATTGTTATTGCATATAAAAAAAATTCAGGTCCGCTTGTTTATTATATATTATAATTATGATATATTAATGTAGGATTAGTAAGAAAGGAACGTATGAAAAGAGTGTGGAACGGAGCGCTAAAGCGAGAGAAAACTGTAAGAAAGGGAGAAGAGAATAACATTGAAATTGCAAGAATTGGTGGTAGGACCTCTTGTGAGTCCGCACGGGTAGGTACCACCACCCCGCCTATTTCTGCCGTGAAGCAGTAATGCGTTTCGGTTTGAAGGGTGGGGCAGTCGTTGTAACTATACTGAGACTTTATATCTTATATCTCAAGGTGGGTGGCGCATTTACGTTGTGGATGTCTATGGGCTCCAGTAACCACTTAACACCAGGTGGGCTGTAAGCTCGTCCACCCATCTAAGCAATAAAAAATAAATAAACAAAAGACGGTTTTAAAATGAGCAGGACGTAATAAAACTATTATTTATTAAATTATTATTATAATAGAATATTTTGGAATAGTGGAAGTTTTATTTTATGCGCTGCGATCCCTATTCTATATTAATATTATATATTATCTTTTCTTAGCGTTTCCCATCCGATAGACGCGTCGTAGGATCCGAGCGTGGAGTACCTCCACCTCACCCGTCCTTTTTCGCGGACGGCGCCGAAGATGTGAGTATATACAATTGATTTATATAAGTGAACCTATTTCGTTCAAAAAAAACGTTGTTTATAATTTAAATTTGACTTTCACTAAACAAACTATCTTAAATATTCACTGTAATCATATAAAATATACATTTCAGATAGATTTAATTTGTTATCGTCAATCCAGTTTCAATTAATTCAGGTTTTGGCGTTAATTACGATTTTACCAAAAATATTATACTCATTAGGATAGTTTCAAAAACTTGTGAATTTTGCTTAAAGCCGCCCAAAATATGGTCTTTTTTACTATGGGCATCACCAACGAAACAAAAACGCAGTACTTTTTTTTAATTTTTAGATGGTGGACGAGCTCACATCCCCCCTGGTGTTAAGTGGTTACGGAGCCCATAGACATCTATAACATAAATGCGCCATCCACCTTGAGATATAAGTTCTAAGGTCTCAGTATAGATAAAGTGACTGCCCCGCCCTTCAAACCGAAACGCATTACTGCTTTACGGCAGAAATAGACAGAGCGTCGGTACCTAGCCGTCCGGACTCACAAGAGGTCTTACCGTCAGTAATTACGCAAACTATAAGATTGCCGATTTGATTTTTATTGCACGATGTTATTCCTTCACTGTGGAAATCAATCGTGAATATTTGTTAAGTACGTATTTCATTAGAAAAATTGGTATACGCCAGCGGGATTCGAACATCGTTGCATCGCTAGGTACGAATGCACCGAACGTCTTATCCTTTAGGCCACGACGACTTCAAAATAATTGTATTATGAATTAATGTGAATAATTATGAAAATTGAATAATCATGGTGACATTTCTGTCGTTAGCAACTCGAAGAGGAGCTACTCGCTCTAGAGCGTCGCATAGACACCGAATTCAAAAGCGCTGATTAGACTCCGGCGCCGGAATACGTTCAATGTCTGTCTCTGTGCATTACTTTTGCGTTTTGTTCACGGCTTTGTACTTCTTGGATAGATAATCGAAACAAAATCACTATTAACGAAAACAATACATTTCATCAAAGCTTCATGTTATTTAATACCCTATCGATCAATCGAGAAATTATATTAATTAAATGTATAAAAGATATAACTGTCAAAAGTTTTTTAATAAAAAATATGATAATAATGAGATCGTCCATTGGGCACGCCTGGTCGTGGTTTTATGCTAATGAATTTTAAACGGGTCGTATTTTATGTAATTTAGTGTTTTATTCTATTAAATTTTATTTTGTTTGTATTATAGTAATGACGTCCCATTGTATTATACATTCAGAAACGCGCAGTATTATTAAATACATATGTATATGGTCACAGGGAACTACTTAGCCGTGAACAATTTATTTATTTATAATTTTATTTTCTTGCCGAATGATTTAAGTACTTAATTTTTTTAAACTGAATGACAATCAAATTATTATTGGCATGTTGATTTAGATTTTATTTCTTCATTTATTTGTATTAATACCATCACTTGCTTATAATTACGGAGTAAAGATATACGCATCTTATAAAATTGACATGTAAAATTAACACTCTTTTGGTGGGCTCACACGGCCCATCTGGTGTTAAGTGGTTACTGGAGCCCATAGACATCGACAAAGTAAATGCCGCCCCATCTTGAGACTTGAATTCTAAGTTCCAGTCTGATTAGTCTAAGGTCCGTCTGCAATATTGCTACATTATTATAATAAATATAATTAACACTCCTTTATGAACTAGATACAGTCTAGCTATGTATGTAAAGGAATGTTTTAATTTAATTTTCACAAATCCAAAAACTATAGATTAACTTGAATATGTATTTGCACAAAAGGACCGTTGACAAAACAATAGTTTTATAACATTTGATTAATAATATCAGACCAGTAACGCGGGAATTAAAAAAATAAAATTAAGCTTTTATTTCAGTTTGTACTAAAGCGTCTTTTTTTTGTTTTTAAACTTATATTTTACTTAATTGAAAATAACTCCGAATTGATTTTTCTCTCGCTACACAGTATAAAAATAGCAGTATTAAAAATCTAATCAAGCTTAAAATTCCAATAGTGTCTTGACAACGCAAGTGATGGTATTTAAATAAATTGTGCTCACATTATTACAATAAAGACATGCAATTTAATTTTATGAAATTTTTTATATGATGTTTTAGAATGTATTATTATTCAATTTTTAATAGAGACGATATGAAATAATATTATGGAGTATTCCGAACTCTGTTTATTTAAATTTTGTTTTATCAATGTGATTCTAAATGATTTTAACACTAGACTACAAATTACAGATTTATATCGAAAATGATTTTAAAACTGGACAAAAAAAAATTTTTTTTTTGATTTTTGCTTTGATTTCTGTCTCTGCGCTTACTTTTTTACTAACTTTACTAAAACCGTAGGAACACTCGATAAAAAAATAATTGTATCATTGTGTAATAGTATCACCGACGTGCACAAATTTAAAAAGATCAATATACAGGGTGTAAATAGTTCGTTCTGAAATTCGAAGCCGGATTAAAGTAAATAACTGAAAACGATATTATTTTATTAAACCGACCATAAATACGTGAGGTATTTATTGAATTTCTACGAAACCATTTGCTGGATAGTCTCGCTTTCCCCGGACAAGACAGTTTTCGCGCCTGCTTTTTTAAAAAAAACGTTGAATTTCTAATACATTTTTTCCCCTACCTAATCGTTGGTAGCTTAAGCATCTATTCCGACTGTGGACCGGTAGGGTGAGTGGGGATATGTAGGGGTAGGTGAGCTTTTTTTTATTTATTGCTCAAGTGGACGAGCCACGGCCCACCTGGTGATAAGCGGTTACCGGAGTCCATAGATATCTACAACGTCAATGCCGCCACCTACCTTGAGATATAAATTCTAAGGTCTCATTATAGTTACAACGGCTGCCCCACCCTACAAACCGAAACGCATTGCCGTTTCACGACAGAAATTGGCAAGGTGGTGGTACCTACCCGTGCAGTCTGATAAGAGGTCCTACCACCAGTAATTATGCAGATTATAATTTTGCTGGCTTAATTTTTACTACACGATTTTATTCCTTCACCTGAGGGAAATTGCTAACACTAGTCCTTGCAAGAGCAATGCTTCGCTGAATCTACTACAGGATCGTAATCGCGATCCACTGAGAAGATCGGGCGGGAAATTCAGCGGGTTAATGTATACAATTATTTCAACATACAAGTGTTTCTTTGTGATTCTTACTTTGTAGTTCTTAGCTCCCGGTCTTCAGTTTTTTGGAACGATCATATACACTCTGTATACAACAGTATGATAATGCATGGCAGAGACCTAATATTGTACATTTTTTAAGCTTAATGACCCATTAAAATATCTGTATGTACATAATAATATATATTTTTGTTTGTTTCTTGTTAGTTGTGTTCTTGTATATGTCATTGTGTAAAATTGTTTTATAGATTCTAATACAAAATAATAGGCTTTTCTTGTTTTATAAGTTGTAAGATGGAAAAACAACGTACACAAACAATATTTAATAATAATTGACGTTATTAAATTTTGTTATTTTAAAAATTATCAATATTTATTTTAGGTAAAATTACATAAAAACATTGAAAAAACGTTTCTTTAGTGCACGACAAAACGCACTCTGGTACGATCTTAAAATAAATTTAAATTAAAAAAAAAACTGAAATAATCCTATTATAAATAAAAGCATTAATAAAAATAAAAAGTCACAAAAAAAAATTAATATACTAATTATGTGTTATAAATGTAATATTCTGCGAGAATGTATATTAAATACAAGTTCAGCTTTGACGTCAGAGCACCTCTTCGTTTGCACTATTAATTTGTGAACGGCAATCAATCATTCGGTACATTTTTTTTTTTTCTACAAGAATCGCAATAATTTTACAATCTGGACAGGCTATTTTCGAAATCTCGCCTAATGACCTAAAGGCCTCTGTCACCAGGTCATAAAATAAAAAAAAAATCTCGCCTAAATTACATTTTAACGTTCGAAATTTAAATAGCACTATTTGATTTTTTACTTTAGACCAATCACATAAAGCATTGGAACCTCGAAAAATGGTAGTCGCGAATTCTTGATCCGTTCTTATGTTAGACGCCGTGTGCAATGTATATTGAACCCTAATGTCGTATTCTCAATTTTACTCATAATATCCGCGTATTTATAGTACACGTGTACGGTTCGCCAGTAATATGTAAATAATGATTGAATTAAAATGTATGAATTTGTGTGAGTTTTAAATCGGAAGTTTCACTTTCGCTTTTCGTTAAAATTAAAATAATTGGTTTATTTATTTATTGTTGTGATTATCTGTGGGCGCGTATCCGTCACCCTGGAGTTACGATAGGTGTATTTTTTATTTCACAGAAAGAACATTATTTATGTTTTTTTTTAAATATACTGTTGTTGTATAAATGTTCCATCTCTACGTTTTTAAAAGTGTGTATGATATGCGGTTTTGTATTCGTACTTACTGACTTATGAAATGCGCTTATGAGTCACGGCGTGACGCATTTGAGGCTTTGTGTCTGAAAAGCTTGAACATAACAATTTTTTTAAACGTATTTATTAGTCTTGAACGCACGAAGCCGACAAATGTGTGACGTTGGAATGACGTTAGTAGAATTAGGATGTGTGATTAGATCAGTGTATCGGAATGAATTCTAAGGCTGGTGACTCGTCGTATCGACTAAATGTTTAAAGTAAGGAAATTAATTGAAAAAACAACTCTACGCTGATTAGTTCGTTAACTTGTTTGCCTACCAGAAATTAAGATTTAAGTTACAATAGAATTTTAACTAATTATTCTCAAACTAAACTGATACTTTACTTGAATTTAGGCTTACACTTTTCAATAATGCAATATATATTTATAAATCCGTGGATAAAAATTTTAATCGAAACAGTCACCATTTATCGTTAAATATATCGATGACATATTTAAATATAACAAAATTTCAGTCCCAAATCAGCATAAAATATTCGGTAATACTAACGGAATCGTAATATAAAATTCTCAGAATAACCGTCCAGATAAATGTATCGATTGAAATCACAAAAACGTATATCTAACGCCAACCCGCCTATTTCTGCCGCGGAATGCCTTCATGCGTGGCTGTTTGAACGGTAGAACACCCTTTAAATAAATGGAGACTAACCTATGTCACGACTGTTGACGTTGACATACGAGCTGTCAAAATTGATTTTCGGATTTCGTGACGATGGCGCAATAAATCAATCCACTCGAAACTTAACTAACAGCTTAATTCAAACTTAAAATATATTAAAATAAAAAATGGCACTAAATAATATTAAAAAAATTATTAACTATTCAAATTTTTATTAATTGTATTGATTTTAATATTTCAAACGGCTTTTTCGTTTGTTCTAGTTAAAATGTAATTTTAAGTATAATGATTAATAAATATATAGTATAGGCGTCGAGTTGTTTTTTCACTTACATGTTTGTAATATTATTATTTATTGGAAGCTAAGACTTTCAATAACGTATACCTTGCATTTGTTTAAGAATGCATTATAATTTTTATTCTCTTACATTACGTAAATGTATGTTTTAAGAAATTGAACTAATTTAACTTAGTGTGATAAGAATATATTATGTATAAATTTTGTTACTAAATATGTATAGGGCCAGAACTCGAATCAAGAAAGCAGGTTTTAGTGCGACGTCTACGTCAAAAGTTCAGGCAAAATTTATATTTACCGACAATTCCAACGTTAATATCCGTCACGTTACATTTCAAAACGGATCCGATTTTAATTATGAGCATGCGTTGGTGGATCCAGGGGGGAGTCATGGGGGTCATGACCCCCCTGAGCTAGTTCCAGGACTTGAACTAACTTGGACTAATTGAAGAACATCATGATTTTATTTATTATCTATTGTTATCAAAATTAAATTATAAGTTCTTAACTTGCCCACGACTATGTGACCCCCGTCCTGGCGCCAAAGCTGGATCCGCCCTTGATTGTATCTTTCTTTTACCAATTTCGCGTTTCAATTAGGCACCGCACTAGAAGCCCGCGGTCTTTCGTTCTGCGCATCATCTTAAACTAAAGTTTTCAAACGGTGCATAATTTAACTATAATAATACTCTGTCTAGTTTTCTCATTAGACGGCAGAGGGTCGTAATGGTCAATTTAAGACATGCCGTGTTGGAGGATGTGATTCTCGCGACACACGCGACCGCGTCTGTGATTGTGTAGCGTCTACATTGCATACGAGAATATTTATATTATATACAATTTAGTTTTGGTTTCGTAATGTAACGTTCGCTTTTTACGAAACATTACAATTACATGTTATATGACCGTCCCGCTGGAAACATTAATTGATATATTCACTGCTGCCCACGAACAAATGGTACCGTTAATGAAAACCTTCCATTATTAAACTTAAAAAAAAAAACTTATCGATACATAACTAAGGATATCTACAATGTTAAAGTAATTAAATATGTGTCTATCAATATATAAATAAAAATAAAAACGAAATAAATGATTGTTGTCTGTGTGTGTTTATACTTAAATAATTGAAATGTATTATTGAATTTGAAAATAAAATAAAATTTAAAAATGTAACTATTGGTATTTGTTGTGTATCGAAGATAAGTGACCCGTGCATCTAGTTGATAGTGATTTTGTCATTAGAAGTTTCCTGTTTTTGTTGCATAGATGTGTTTTTATCATTATAAATCGATGGAATAAATTAATCAATGTGAAAATTGTGTTTCATTGTATCAGTTAATTCCTAAACCACTCAACTTTCGTATACATTGACAAAAACAAAAACATCTTCCCCATTTTTTTTATTTTTATTGCTTAGATGGGGGACGAGCTCACAGCCCACCTGGTGTGAAGAGGTTACTGGAGCCCATAAACATCTACAGCATAGACGCGCCGCTCACCTTGAGATACAAGTTCTAAAGTCTCAGTATAGTTACAACGGTTGCCCCACCCTTCAAACCGAAAGGCATTACTGCTTCACGGTAGAAATAGGCAGGGCGGTGGTACCTATCCGCGCGGACTCACAAGTGGTCCTACCACCAGTAATTACGCAAATTATAATTTTGCGGGTTTGATTTTTATTACACGATGTTATTCCTTCACCGTGGAAGTCAATCGCGAACATTTGTGATTGATATTAAAGAAAAAAAAGTAGCAACTATAGTTAGTACGTAAGATGAGCTAAGATTTTGTAACCTTATCCAGTAATGAGACTGCCGGCCTTCAAATGCTGGCAGGTACCTTTTACCAAGAAATCGGATAAGCAAATAGGTAAGTAGGTACCTTCCACTTGTTTACGAGCGACTCGCAAGAAGGGATTGCATCGTGTCTAAATGCAATTTGCAGAATTGATTAATTTGCATGTATGCAGGTGCCGTTGTGTTATGATTACGAGCAGCTTCTCGAGAGATCTAAAGACACGCCTAGATGGAACTGTTTGAAGAGAAATATTTTCACACGGAACCGTGATTGGTTTTGGCGTTTTTTTATTTTTATGTTTATTGCTTAGATATGTGGACGAGCTCACAGCCCACCTGGTGTTAAATGGTTACTGGAGCCCATAGTCATCTACGACGTAAATGCGCCACCCACCTTAAAATCAGTTTCGTCCATACTAATGTTATGAATGTGAGAGCGTCCTCCTTTCATGTCGAATCGAAGCAACGGATTGATATGGATTTTTTTCAGTAATAGTATTATGTTAGAAGGTCACCGAAGCCGTGGGTAACCGCTTGTGATATTATAATTAATTACTTTTTTTATTGCTTAGATGGGCGGACGAGCTCACAGCCCACC